ATGGATAAAAGTGAAGAGAACAAAACAATACAATAACACAACCTCTTTGTCCACAAAAATACTGGGCTTATTTTTTTTTTAAAGATTTTATTTATTTATTTGACAGAGAGAGAGAGATCACAAGTAGGCAGAGAGGCAGGCAGAGAGAGAGGGGGAAGTAGGCTCCCTGCTGAGCAGAGAGCCCAAATGTGGGGCTCAATCCCAGGAACCTGAGATCATGACCTGAGCCGAAGGCAGAGGCTTTAACCCACTCAGCCACCCAGGCACCCAAGATACTAGGTTTAAATTATTAAATTAGTTTCAGGTCCATCACCAATTCACTAAAAACCCTCAAACTAGGTTTTGCCCTTCCTCTGGACTTTAATATCATACGAGAGGGGTGCTTCATTAAATGATCAGTAAGGGTTTCTTCTAGCCCTAAAATACTACTATTCTGTTTCACAAACGACAAACTGCAAAATTTAAATTAGCAGTATTAATAGTTAGCCCCTACTATACAAAGTATAGTGAAAAGTGCTTCACATAACTTTTTTTTTTTTTTTAAAGATTTTATTTATTTATTTGACAGAGAGAGATCACAAGTAGACAGGCAGGCAGAGAGAGAGAGAGAGAGAGGGAAGCAGGCTCCCTGCCGAGCAGAGAGCCCGATACGGGACTCGATCCCAGGACCCTGAGATCATGACCTGAGCCGAAGGCAGCGGCTTAACCCACTGAGCCACCCAGGCGCCCTTGCTTCACATAACTTTTATAACAACCTCACGAGGTGATTCATATAGCCATCTTATAGAAAAGGAAACTGAGGCTCAGATGTTAAAATGTCTAGTGTCTACCAGATACTACATGTTACAACTCTGATTTATACAAGTCTGATTTCAGAATTAGAGCTCTTAACCACTAAACTATTTTAATTTTTTCTAAACTCTTAAGAACCCATGGAAAAAAACATCAAATAATTGGGAAAACAATCTCTTAAATATGAATTAATCCAAGAGGATTTTAATACAAAAAAGAAGCAAAATTTTACAGTGGGAAGATCTTGGAAAACTGACTTTTGCAAGGCCACACAGCTCAAAACTGGAAGAGTAAGTAGAATTTGGCTGTATTAAAAACTTATTATTTCTGCTGGGGGATTATAAGCAAGGTTCAAAAACTTTTACTCTATGCAGACGTTTCAACTAAAGCTAGATTATACAATGATAAATGCACTGAAACAGAGCAAAAGAATCAAAATAAAAATCTAACCAATTTCACAACTGATTCATTCTCTGGGCTATTAGAAATCTGGGACCCATCTTTATTATTGTGTTTTGCTTTGTAAAATACAATATTTTGTGGGATCTAGGCATTTACATTTTAATCCATTCTCAGAAGTCAAGGTTTATAATGTTAAAAGGTGGATGCAAATTGCAAATGCAATCTACATTAACCAGAGGAATCTAATGTATAAATGGAATGCAAGAAATGTGTATTCTGAAGAGCCCAGGCATAGGTTTTTAAGTCAGACAGACTTAGTTTTCATTCTATGTCCTTTATTATCTTTATGATCTTGGACATGTTTTTAATCTGAGTCTTAAGTCACATTTGAAAATTGGTGAAAATGCCAATCTCATAGGGGTTGTTAAGATAAAAGTAGCTCATATTATAAACATTCTCTTACACTAACTATATAATTAAGTATCCAATAAGTGGTAATTGTTAATGCTAAACACCCAGTTGAAAATAACTTGAAACAAAATATTGTTAGTATTAGTAAAAAATTCCACATAATTCCTAGGTTCTTGCTAGCCCAAAGAATGAATTAGAAACAAGACTGAAGGTATATTGAAAGATCAAGGCAGATCTCAAACAGAATGAACTTATACGGAACAGAATTGAGGAGAAAGAAGACAACTGATGGAGAAATTATATTTTTATCACTGAGCAACATTTTAGGAATAGGTAAGTGTGTTAAATGTGTACTGGCTACAGACAGGTCACAGCCCTAGTTGCTCACACATCATCTCTACCTTTTCATTGAGTATTTCCTGTGCTTAAGAGCTGGGGAAGTATAGATAGGGCCTTTTCCCCTTTCTCTGTGGGTTTATTATTCCTCAGATGGGAGTGTCCAATGACTAGGACAGACAACAAATGCCACTGACTGGGAGATGTGATTCTGTGATTCAAATTCAAATTAAAATTTTTTTTGTGATTTCTAAAATCAAGCCATGGAAAGAAATGTGGAAGCTACCTATAACTCAGGGTCTAGACAAATGAAAATTTCATACAAGGCAAACACAACCCAGATGTTAAACAACACACAGAGAAATGTTCTAATGCCATCTCTACCATCCAAGATTGCTGTAAATCAAGATCTAGTATAGACCAGATGGTGGTGTTAGCGGTGGCTGATTCTACCAAAGGAACTGCTAGTGACTGCTTCTTTTTGAAATGTTAGCTAATTTGATCCCTAGTTCAAACTCTTAACATTTTTCCTTTACTTCTTAAAAATGCATTTGAAACATAAGAGAATAATAACATCTATAAGCTATTAAGCACAACATTTTAAAGCACATTGCTATCTGCCTAAAGCAAAATATAAGAATTTAAAAATTATGTATCAAAAAGCACTATACCCTAGCTCTGAAAAAGTTCACTTATTGAACTTGATTATTTTTAAAAGAAACATATGTAATAATACCACGATTCTCAGAAAAATGGTGGCACAAAAATAATTCAAATAAATTAAAAACTGAAGAGAAATGATATAAGTACTTTCCTACCAGCTCTTTTTTAAAAATTTGACATAGAGAGAGAGAGATTACAAGCAGGCAGAGCATTGGGCAGAGATAGAGGGGGAAGTAGGCTCCCCGCTGAGCAGAGAACCCCATGCGGGGCTTGATCCCAGGATCCTGAGATCATGACTTGAGCTGAAGGCAGAGGCTTAACGCACTGAGCCACCCAGGCGCCCCTCCTATCAACTTTTAAGTATAGGACTGGTAGTTTTTCATTTGTCATTTGTCAACTTGGGTATTTGACAAGTTAGGTCAACTAAATGTGATTCTTGAGATCTTTGGAAACATCAGATTTTAGAAATCATACACATTTTAATAAAAAAAAATTACAGAAGCAGATGGGTCTTTTTCCATTCCCTCTGAGTAAAATAGCTTCCTTATTGTTTTTTGTATTGTCCTTCAAATCTCAGGTCACACGTATAGGGGGAGGGGCAGAGGGAGAGAATCTTCAAGTAGACTCCTCCACTTCAAGTAGAGCACAGAGCCCAACACTGCTGAATCCCACAACCTGAGAGCTCATCATGACTTGAGCTAAAACCAAGCCAGACGACTGACTGAGCCACCCAAGCGCCTCAGCGGTTACTTTTAAACAGTGATAGTTCAGGTGTAAACTTTCTACAGCATTCCTTTTTTATAATTAGAAAACTATACAGCTATGTTAATTTTTTTCTAAAAGGGTATTATTTATTGCATATTTAAGCTCTGTGCTAACTGCTTTACAAACATTATTTAGCTCTCAAAATAATCCTAACAATGATTCTCAATTTATAGGTATGGAATCCTAGGCTTAGAAAGGGTATGTGTCTTTTTTTAAAAGCCAGTATGTGGTGAATATAGAGCTTGTATTGAGTTCTCTTTGACTTTAGATTCCTTGCTACCTTACAACTGTATTGTCTCACCAATTGTTCTATATAGTTAATACCAATATTGATCAAATAAAGGCAGTAATATTGAAGAAGATATTGTTGAAATACAAATTTCCTTTGAATGAAGCTTTGGCTAGGCCATTTACTCAGAGGTAAGACAGCTTTTGCTTTCACTTCGTTTTTAGAAAAACAAAAGCCACGTTTCATATGAGTTTAAAAAGGCCTTCAGAGCCTTAGCAATGTTAATCTTTTTTGAAAGTTCCCAATTTTTTACAGAATAAAAATACTAGTCTTTTCAAATTTATAAAGTTATTAAATAACTTTAAAGAACTACATGACAGAAATTAATATTCTACTATTCTAGATATATCAGTTTTTAAGTCATCTTAATTATTTGTCCTTAAGATATGATTTCAGTTCACTTTAGGATTAACATAAGCGCATAGAAGTTAAGACAGGCATCTGAGCATATGCTCAGAGGGCAAATTGAGTAGGGATAGAAAAGATGATTTCATACAAGAAACATTGTCATAATTTTTCAAGTCTGTTACCAAAATATAACCATGTGAAAGACAGAAAAAGAGATAGTCATACATAATGAATGAAAACTAGCATTTACATAGCAAAATACTAGCATTTCAACCTAATTTCAAAAGATAATGTTAGGGTTGTCAAGCCAATGTCATATGCCAAGAACAATCCAGTTATTAACCCTTATTCAAGGGATTTGTACTAGTATTTTTCAGCTTATTGGTATATATTTATTGTGTTAAATATTTAATCCACTTCAGTTTTTTATGAAATTTAATAATATATTGTTAATTATTTCAAGAAAATTATTTTTACTTGTTTTACTCTTCAAGTAAAAAGCATCTGGATCTGCACAGGTTATTATATCTCTAGTACTCATGTTTATACCGGTCCATGGTCCTATAATTTTGAAATTCACAATGCTCTGAAAAATCACAGGCGTTTTAGGTAAGTTTGGAGCCACAGCTCAGGTGTGGCAAAATTTGACTTGAACCAAAGAGACGTTATTTATGGTTTTTATTTATTTCACTTGGTATAACTACTCAAATGTTTTACTGCAAAAATACTATGCTTGATCATGAGGTCCTTCCCCTTGTTTTAGGGTGTTATACAATATATGGTATATGGATCACCCTTCTAAAACCTGAAAAAGTCCGTTATTTTTTTTTTAATGTTTTATTTTTAAGTAATCTCTACACCAAACATGGGGCTTAAACTCACAACCCCAAGATCAAGAGTCCTATGCTCTACCAACTGAGCCAGTCAGGTGCCCCTAAAAATCCAGGATATATCTATGTTATTTTATTTATTCATTTTCAAGATTTTATTTTTAAAAAATATGGAACGCTTCATGAATCTGCGTGTCATCCTTGCACAGGGGTCATGCTAAACTTCTCTGTATTGTTCCAATTTTAATATATACGGTGCTGAAGTGAGCACTGAAAAATTTTAAGTTTTGAAACACATCTGACCTGAAGGCTTTTGTTGGGAGACTGTGAACCTCTAAGTCACATATTTTAAATATATCATACAACTTGGAAAGGAGTGAAGCAGTGCTCTTCATGAATCATAACTTATTCTGACTATACTTGGAGAGTAGCAGGAGCTCACAACTGGGTTGAGAGTGCGTAGTCCCTCTGGGAAGCAAATGGGAGCTATTAGATACCAAAGGTAAATTTAAGAGAAAAACCTGTCCTTCAGTTATGCCATGAAAACAAGACAAAAAAAAACAACAAAAAAACAACAACAAAACCACTGTTTCTGACACTCTCTAGATATATCTAGAGCCTGACTGGTTGGAACAGCCACAGGAGGAGTACGCCTTTACTCTGGCAGCTCTCACAGAGATTCTGCTTTAAGCACTATAATCACAGGCTAAATAAAAAAGTGAACTCCCAGGCTCTTTTGTGTCGGTAACCTTACCAAGGAATCTGTGGGAAGCTCTAGATACCTATAGATGGTTAGAGAATGCATCAAATCCAGAGAAAGCACAAAGACTCATTATATAGATGGTAGGTTTTCTATGAAAAGCAAGTAAGTCCTTTTTGAAAGACTGAAGAACTTAGGACAAGCCCCTCTGAACACTTGACTGCCAGCACTGCTGTTTCTGGAGAGCAACACTTTAGTCTATAATCAGAGCCTTTCATTTTTGGATACCGTGGTGGGTATATGTATAGAAGGATGGTACCTACTTACAAGGAGGATTTTCCACAAATTCTCTATCATAGTGCTTTCACGTTCATATGCCAATGCTATAGGTAATACAAGACTTCCATCAGCAGATAAAGCCACTCACTAACAATGAGAAATTTGAAGTAGTTTCCCTGTATAGTATACTGGTCCCATATAGTCTTTAAGGACAAGGTTAACTTTTGGTAAATATTTTTCTTAGTTTTATTGAGAAATAATTGACATACATCACTATATAAGTTTAAGGCATATAGCATGTTAGTTTGATTTAAATGTATTGTACATATTTTTAATAAATGCATAAAATGCCCTGCTTAGCAAAAATTTAATGTGCAAAAGTCCTGAATTACAGCAAGTGGCCATTTTACTTAATATTTAATCTTTAGATGGTAGAAATAAATATCACAACAATAAATAGCAGGAAAAGATCATACATCAGAAATTTGTCAGCTATTTTTTTTTAAAAGGCTTTATTTATTAGAGACAGAGAGAGAGAGAGAGCCTGCACACAAGTGGGAAGAGCTGCAGAGGGAGAGGGAAGCAGGCTCCCCGCTGAGCAGGGAGACCCATGCGGGGCTTGATACCAGAACCCTGAGATCATGACCTGAGCCAAAGTCAGCCACTTAACTGACTAAGCCACCCAGGGACCCCTGTCAACTATTTTTTATATTTGTGATACTATGATAAAAATGTCAGCTTATGCTATCTGTGAAGATCTTGTTATTTGCAGTTCAGGAAAGGTAAAAAGGAAAGTCTTCATATCCCCACCAGGAAATATGGGGGGAAAGTTTCCATAAGTTTTTCCTGCCTTAAATGCAAACATGTGTGTTTCCTGTATTATTCCCCATCCAGGTTAAATAGGATAGGAGATCCTTTTCATTGGACATGAGGAAATGTCCTTAAGGGCACACATCACTATTTGTGGTAATGGAAGGGACAAACACTGAGGTGTATGTAGGGCAGAGGTGCCGAAAAGTTAAGAGGGGTGAGAACGGACACTAATTGTTAGCTACTGGCTGCTGTTTATTCCACACAGATTGCTTTTTAGGCTTACAAACTGTTAAGAAATATGTTGATGAGATCCACACTGTGGAATGAAAAAAGAACAGAAGTCCCAAGGGACTTTCAGTCAACTCAATAAGAGAGTTAAATGGGGGGTACCATGAATATAAAAGTGTTACAAGACTTCATAATCTTTATAATGTCTCCTATATTTGATATTTTGCTGTTTCCTATAGCAATTAGGGGCAATACCTAAAAAAATCAAATATGCTTGTTTTGTGGGAAGATGGGGAAAAAAAGACAGTCAACATTTATTCTGTATCTACTATGTGCCAGGTACTGAGTCAAATGCTTAAGTATCTCATTTAATTTTCAAATAGATTAAAGTCTTCAACATTTACATAGGAGAAGGCTGAATCAGAGAGGTTAAATATATATAAACATATAAATAAAATAAACACAGCCAGCAAATAGCACAGCCAGGATCTGACTCCAAAGCTCATGATTTCTCACTGTATGACACCTGGATTAATTTCTAAAACAAGTATGACCCATGTGACAGCTGAATGACTCTCCAAAATTGGGATCCTAGTATATATATGTACTTGTCATATAGAAAATCCTCTCTTTTGGGGGTTAGGGAAATTTTAGGGTACATCTCATATTCTTTGAATAATCCTGCATTAAAAACTCCTTTCAGCATAAACAATGAATTCTGTTACACTGAAAAGAAAAAAAAAAAAAAGCATTTCACAAAATAAGATACAAAACGGCCAATAAATATATATGTATACTCAAAATTAATAATCATACAAATATAAACTAAATGAAATATGGTATGCAAAATTTAAAAAAAACAAACTCCTTTCAGCAAAGAAAGGTGAATATTACTCTTTTCAACTTTCTGGTATCATCTGAAAAATGGTATTTGAGGATATAAAGAAAGGACACTGTAGAAATCAATAACTATATGGAAATAAAGGCAAGAAAATCAGTGTTAACCATGAGACAGCTACTAAGTTACTACATTAGATGAAACTTGCCACTGATCATTGTCACTTGTAATAATATTATAGTTAACACTAAGATCCCCAATCTAATTCTATGACTATACAAAATAGAAATAATTGCGTATTTATAAAGCCATTTTGGCCAGTTTCTTCTGGTATATCACTCTAAAGCATGAATCAAAATAATCATATATTGAAATAAAATGATAACAAATTTCGATTTATCAGCAAGTAAAGATAAGTCAAAAAACAAAAAGGGTACAATCATTTCAAGCCTTTAGTTAACTTTGACAGTAATATTGTGACTGTATGCTCTTATCTGGTTTTCAACTTCTGCAGGAAAAATATTACAATTTGAAATGGGTTATATTAAAAAAGGCTTCAGCTTCCCCTTGATAAAGGCAAGATTAGCTCTACAATTCTTTCCAACATGCCTCTCCAGGAAAACAAAGGTGCTTCAGACAAGATGAAAAATGAGAAGTTCAATCCTTTCACTATAAATAGGGAAGGAAATGCTTAATTTATATAGGAAAATGGAAAGCCCCAGTTTACACAATCAGTGGCCCTTTACACACCCGAACACATTTTTAATCCCAATACCAGGTTCCACCCTTCATTAACATGCAAACCCACACATCCCATCTCCCCCACCCTTGACCCACACCCCCATATACCTCAGCTATGGTCATTCTCAGAGCACTGACAGGGGAGAGCTCAATATCCACCAGTTGGGCAGCTTTTAAACTCTGCCCAGTAAAGATTGCACAAGGACAGAAAACAGCATAGTTAGAACTTTAAGGCAAACAGGGACATGCAGCTAAGAACATTTAGCACAGTGTCTAGAAACAGAATAGGATTTAGGATTGTAGCTGGGCCTTGAACAAGTGAAATGAGAGTCTACTGTTATTCTGATTTTTCTGAGGAAAATGGGCAAAGATAAAATAATCTTGAATTAGTTGCAATTTTAAGTCAAGCTTGGTGAACCTGTCCACACCCTGTATCTTCTAATGCTCTGCTTCATTCCTCTCAGGTAAAGAAGTGAAATTATAGGATGTCACTGAGTCATTAAGCAAAAGTTGAATGATTGAAAAAGGAACTAACATAAAGGGCAAGGGTGATAATCTAGAGGTAAATGCTGATTTCCTATATTTCTTTATATAGCCACGAACAGGGCTCCTTAAAATGTAAGAAAAGTAATAAAGATAACTCTAGTAAAGGTCTATTAAACTGAGACCATGAAACTGTGATATCATAAATTCCCCTGGTTCTGATTCCATGTTTACTAAAAGACCTTACGAATATAATTTGACATCCCTCTTGGCTTGCCCACATTGAAAGAATGTGCTAGATATGCCAACATGTGCTTTCTTAACTTGCAGAAGTTGACTGTCTTTTTTTTTTTTATGTTATCAAATTAGCATTTTGGTTCTGTTGTTTTTAATTCAAATAATGGCAAACATTTTTCATAAACTGAAGGATAAAATGCATGATTAATATCTGCTTTTTAAAATATTGCCAATTTGAGAATTTATGTTAATGCTCTGACATTCTAGGAAATCTGAAAGGAATGAAAAAGGGTAATTTTTTATAAAGCCAACCAAAATATGTGCAGGCACACATTCACTGTTCTGTTTATTGATTCTACTCTGGTTAAAATTTAACCACTGGTTTCTTTGGAAGGGTGTCCATGTGAAGAATTTCATGGATAGAAAGTATAAATTATGTTTGAATTGAAAAAAAAATTTTAATGAATATTTTTTTCTTCTCTCTGTTCAGTTTGCAGGTTTTTAGTTACATATCTTAGAACTTAACCTCATTTAAGTTGCTAACATAAAGATACTGGGTTTTAGTCACATTTTAGAAAGGAGAAATGGCTGTTTCTCTGCATACTTACAATTTTGTTATGAAATTAAGGAGACACACTCAGCTTTTTCTGTCTAGTTCAAGGATAATAGTTATCTGAGCACAAACATAGCTTAAAAACAAATGGAATGAAAATCTGGAATTCCCTTACAGTATCGCTGTCACAGGGCTGGAACTGGAAAGGCTGGGGTTTGTGAAATACAGCATTCTCTTGTAAAAACAGCTGAAGATTATAGTCCCGTACCACCTAAAGAGAAAATAAAGTATCTTTAAGTCTTTAATAAAGTTATGATGCCGAGTAATTATATTTTAAAGTTTAAGATTTATTCTGTTGCTTTCCAAAAATGAGAAATCATCCAACACTATGTGATCAAA